GCAATTTAAATAGAAAATAAGTAAGGTTTTATAGTAGTCTTTAATTCAACATTATCATTCATGGAATAACCTATGCCATGGACTAGAAATAATATATAATCTTTTTATTCAATTGGTTGTGGCTTTTAAAAGTAACCTAAAATTAACCTATTTACTATATTTTTAGAAAAAATCTTTTTTAATAATTTACAGATCAGTTGATATAAAAAAATGAAAAATTCCATATAATTATACAACATTAATAAATTATTAGATCATTAATGCTAGATTCGGATATGAAGGAAATATGAGATTACCAATGCACTATATCCTACATTTATTAAAGGTATTATATGAACATCAATGAATATATTTTAATTAACATTTATTTACTAACAAGAAATTTTTGATGTGAAAGAGACCAGCTCCCTGGACCAGCTCCCTGGACCAGCTTATTCCACGGTACTGTTTCAAATAATGAAATAAAAGTGGTATCACGAAAAAAATAATCAAAAACTGTAAATTGTTTTCAATTAATAGAGAAATTAGAGAAAAAAAAGAATGTTAATAGATAACCCTATCTTACTTCAAGGTGTGCGCTAAAATTTTTGGACCATTTTTTTTCACGGAAGTCGACATACCGATACCCTTCATAGTTTCTGCCTTTAAGTGAAGTAATTATATCTGGAAAATTAAATCCGTTCACAACAGATGGAGATAACTGTAAACATGTTTAATTATACCACAAAATTTAAGCAAAAATTTATAGATAGAGAGCACATTTATATTTCCTAGTTGTATACGTGAATATTCTATACATGAATGGTTACTAAGAAACCAGTATACTCTCATTATAGTTTAGAACTAACTTAAATAAGTATACATTATTAAACTATTTTTATTAATTTTTTTTCCGATTATCGAAAACTTTGGTGACTTCTTGACGTTTATATCTGGTGAAAAAGTTTAAAGAGAAGCTTTGAAGAACTACGTGTTATTTTTTAGTATCTTAGCAGGTATATTTTTTACGTTAACACATTCTAGGTTAATATTGTTAAGATAAATTATAAGTCACTTTAGTGAGTTAATCACTCACTTTGCCTTTAGTTTGTCACAATTCTAGCTTAGTATTGTGAAGATTAATATTAAGTCACTTTAGAAATGTGTAAATAATTATTATAATTGCTTTGAATATCTTATAAACTTCTGGTGTGACAGACTAAATAGATCAATATAAAGACAAGTTACTCTGAAAACATATTTCTTCAAACGAAATCTTGGTATCACGTGGTTATGGCCATATTAAAACTATAAAAAGTTTAAAAACTAATAACAAATATCGCAAGAAAGTAATTATAAGAATCATATACGACATTCAGTTACCAAATCAAGGTAATATTTTAGGGGTATCGAATAAATCATTAATAAATATAGTAGAATAGTTAAGTAATTTATATAATAAATATTAATCATAAATATTTTTAACTTATACATAGAAGCAAAGTAAAGTTTTTTAACCCCAAAGCCTTGTACAAAATAATTCTACCTATTAAACAAAAATAGAGATAAAGAAATAGGTATAGGATGTAGATAAATTTGATTAATAACATAAAGAAAATAAAAACACAGATTACTTTTCTTGAACTAAATCCAAAAACAACTAGAAAAATTAACAAGATAATCATTTAACAAACCTCGTTTTTTAACGATTTCAATTTGAATAAAATGTTAATCCCTATTTTTATTTTTAGAAGAAAATATTTCTATATTATAGAAAAAATATTATTAATAATAATTTTTATGCGAACATTGTCTACTGATCGTTCAACGAATTCAAATGTATGCTTTTTATTTTCATTTTTTTTTTTGTGGATTCGCAATGACTTTAGGATTGTATTGCATTCAATCAAATTATGTACATAAATATCAGTACAAGATCAAAGCTATAATATTATGCAAAGCAAGATACAAAATATCATTATTGCAGGTAGTCAGTCAAGAAGATCAGTAAGGCAGTTTAATGAAGTCAAATAGAAAAGTTTGTCCAGTAAGGGTAACTTTACTCATATCCTACACTTAACACTAAACACTTACTAAGAAACGAATTAAATATATTTGATAAAAAATATTATACGATAATATGTGTATAAGATATATCGTATGTTTCGAATTAAAATAAATGAAATATAATGATAATATAATGATAATATAATGTATTAATAATAATCTAGAATAATTACTTCTCATAAAGATTTCTTATAATAAAGAACTACTCATATTCATAGGAAAAACTGTCATGAGTTTGTCAAAAATATTACTAAACTCGCATTATATAGACTGACGTGTTTACACTGATTTCTATATAAACAAAGTTTTTCTAGAACTTTGAACTTATAGTGATCACTAGTGACTATGGCCCAAGAGTGCCAAGGAGATTTACACGTTACAGAAAGCAGTTTGTTTTGTCCGCATTTACCATAAGACCGATTAGGTTTGCTGGCTAGGTTGGGTGTTATGGGCGATATCAGTATCTTCGGCATTAAGACTTTACTAATTGAAACATATTGTGCGGCTCGAAGATTAGGTCACTAGTATCTTCGTCTTCGTATACAAAAAGTTATCAATATAAGATATGAAAATTATTCTGTTGAAAGGGGTATAAGAACCTGCGAAGTAAATTCTTGGAGAGTGATAATGTGACTGTCGCGGAAATGAATCAACTACTGAAAATGGCTTTAAGTCATATAAATGTTAATAATTTGCTGGTCTAATCTGAAATCAAATTACTTACCGATTGCTTAAATATGAAATATATTATAAACTTATAAGGTATATCATTCATACTATCTAAAACATAACCTAAAATTAAATTGCAAAGGGGAATTATTGCGTATCAGCAATGTTTTATGTCTTGTTTTATGTCTGATATAAAATAAAATGATATTTTTCTGCATTGATATTTAACTCGATTCATCAAAGCGTAATAAATCATAAATGATATTTAATTCGATTCATCATAGTATAGTAAATGATATCAATGAACGTGGAACAAGAATTTATAAACCAGCACATACAATGGAAACATTTTAATAATGGCAAAGGTAGCAAAGAACGGAAAGTCAGCAGTTATTACCTTTAGAAACAAAGTCTATAATGATCATATAATACTCGTATTAACATTGTGGAAGATCTTGTTGAAGCTATAAATATCTACTCATGACATTAAACTCAAATAAGACATATCAGCAACTAAAAATGATAGTGGTAAGCTATCAAAATGCTCAGCAAACGTATTATTCTATAGGCAAAAAGGAAAATTTCATCGGAAACCAAAAGAAGCGTAAGACCAGTAAGAAGAAAAAATGGAAACGCGATGTTGAACAAGATCTTATTTAAATACATTTTACAAAGGATCGATAAATAACGATGTTGTTGATATGGGTTTAAATAGCATGGCATGGCTTGATAAGGACGCTGAAGAAGATGTATTATAAGAATATAAGGAAGAAAAATACTATAAATCTGTACTTAATAAGATTATTCTGAGTTAAATTAATAAATTTATTAAATGCCATTTAAGTCTTAGAAATAATTTAATAATTAAATTCTTTAATATGTATACAATTATTTTAATTAGAAGTTAATTAAGTAAATTCAAACAATGTTATTTTTTTTTAATTTAATAATATATTTATAAAGGTTACTTGTTATGAAATTGTTATAAATTTTATTTCTTTACTTCTTAAACTTAAATAAATTTCAAGTACATCATTAAGTTCAAATTTAAAAATATAATATTTCAAAGGTTCAATATGTGATAAACTATTATATTATATATTCATTAAGGTAGTTATAAGTAATGTGTAAACAGATGCGACCTTTAATCTTATTTCTGATTACAACCTTACCTCTTCTCATTTTCTAATGGAATCAATTACATATAAAAGAAAAATAATTAAATATTATTGCTAAACTGTAATAAATTTACATTATAAAATATAAGGTAGTCGTATATGTCTTCAAACAAAAAAAACAGTATACACTATAGCCATACAATTAACATAGGTGAGTTTTGAAGTCTGGACGGTGATCTATTTTTGAATTAAATCGAAATAATGATATTAATAAATAAATCATAGCTTTATAGGTTTTTAAATTTGATCTCTTGTTACTGATAATGATTTTGTAAAATTATAAAATTGAATGAAATAACCCATAGCAAATTTTTTTATAAGATCAATAAACTTCATAACTCAACAATTCATTATGTTCTACCAAGCTAATAATTTTTTCGACGTATCTTTTCTGTTCACAAAACGATCATCTTCCCTTCGAAGCTAAGTTTGTGGCTTGTTGGTGCTTCTGTAGCCTTTATCTACTTAAAATGATTTTAATTTTATTTTATTTTTAAATTTGTATTTCTGTATTATTTTTCGTTTGTGTTCTTTTTCCAATTTAAGTTTTCGTTGTGTTGCCAAATAATTTATATATATTTTTTCGTACGTGTTTGGTTAAAAATTCCTCAACGGCTAACAATGTTACAATTGGAGAGTAAGTCGGTCTTCAACATTTTACTTGAGAAATTGTGACTTTGAAACAGGTTGTGTTCAGTTGTGTTCAGCTTTTCATATTGTTACCAGTATATCAAAAAGAAAAATAATGGTAAAATACAAGGAGAAGAAAATCGGAAGAAAATGAAATAAAGAATGAAAGAAAGAACTGACTTATGGTACTTACCAATACAGAACTATCGAACGAGCAAAAACTGACTATGAAATTTGAAAATAATGAATTCATGCAGTTCTTTCTTACCTGAGCTCGAAGTCATCTTTTGTATGTTCTCTTTTACGCTTAGGTTTCTTTTCATGGTTTATATTCTTGTTTGTTTTTATTGACTTGGCTTGAAGGATTAAATATTTCTTTTATGTCTATGAGTTTAAAAATTGACTTTGTGAGTCTTTGTGTTAGTAAATTGGATAGGAAATTTAAGTAAATTATACTTACATGCCCATCGCTTCATTTAGTTTGTAACTTGCCACGATCGAGGAATAAAGTGTTTCCGCTTAAACAAAAATTTCAATTCTTTTTAACAAGAACTGATTTTTATTAAAGAAAAATAATTGAAATATTTTTAAACTTAAAACGGATTTATTTTTAAATATATACAAAATGCCGAAAATATTTTTAATTTGCTTGCTTAGTGTCCTTTTGTGCGCATCAGGTTAGTATCTATAAAATTTTAGAATAATATTCAAACAGATGAATAATAAATTACAAAATACATCAAAAGATTATATTAAAAAAAAAATAACTGAAATTATAATTATAAATAATTAAATTATAAAATATTTAATTTAAATTTTTAAAGAAAATCGAAATAAAATTGTGGCTATGATTTAATGTTATATTACGGTGTACGTTTTTCTTAATCAATTTAAAGATTAATTTAGTCGAAGAAAAATTGTGTATATTTTCTTGCATCATTTTCGAGTTTTTTTTAGAGTTTTAAAGGTTGATTTTATTTATACAATATTAAGTAATATGAAATATTTACTATATTACGACAATGATTCCGTTATAACTACTTTATATTTTGCTTAAAATGTGCCTTAAAAATTTTTTCGCTAGCTGCATATAAAGCTACTTAAATAAAAGAAAGCAATGGTCAATATTTTCTAAAAATTCCCAATGTTTTGTCACATTTTTTATTCAGAAATTTATTATTTTTTGAAATGTTTTCTTAAGAAATATTTATTTTAAATATTTGTTATAATAAAAAAAATTATTAATTGTCAACATAGAGCTATATAGCTACTTCCTACACATAAACGAAATTTTTGTTGATAAGAAAAAAAATTTATAAAATTATAATAAAATAAAAAAAAATTGTTATGTATTTATAAGTGTTTGCAGAAAAGTCGAGGTGGTTTAATTAATGTAATTTTTTTATTATTAACTAAGTAATTTATTTAGTAAGGAATTTTGATTTGTTCGTCATATAAATTAAAATTTTTGTTGATATGAAGAAATTTAGAAAAATATAACATAAAAAAAAAGAAATTTCTATATATCCATAAGTGTTTGTAGGATAGTCAAGGTGGTTTAATTAATATTAACTTTTTTATTTATTATTACCTACAAAAATTTATTTGGTAAAGAGTTTTAATTATTTCGTTACATAAATTAAAATTTTTGTTGACATAAAGAAATCTAAATATATATAATAAAATAGAAAAGAAATTGCTATATATCCATAAGAGTTGACAGAGAAGTCTAGGTGGTTTAATTAATGTAATTTTTTTATTATTATCTAAAAAATTTTTTTCAAAATGATTTCTGATAGTTTTTTAATTTCATAAATTGTTTTAAATATAATAAAACCTACATATAATAGGTTAAGGTAGTGATTCTATTAAAATAAAAAAAAATATTTAAGTCAATATCCTTAGCAAAACAAATGGCATTTTATAAATGTATATTCAAGTTCTTTAAGAATTGCTTAAACTTTGTTTTAAAAAGTCAAGAAAATATAATATTTTGTGCTATTTATTAAATTTTATTTGTTAGGTAAATAATTAGTTGGTCAAGTCTTCGTATTTAATAGTATGAGTTAAAATAATTCTATTATCAATATAATAAAAATCGAAATAGGTTAGGATACCAATCACAGGAATTCAAGATCAATTTAAGTTTAATGGTTCATCATGATATATACATATATGTCAAAAAAATAAACAAAGAGAAAAAAAATAAAACAAAATAAAATAAAATAACAATGAAATAATAACAACTTCTTTTAAAAAATATATACCAAAATTTTATGAAATTAGCAAAAATAAATTATATATATTGAAAATGATTGGAAAAACATTTTATTGTGTTTTTTATAAAAAATTTTTAGTGTTGTTAGATAAATATTTTATTTGTTTAATATTTTATCATTTAATTCCATGAATTGAAGATATGTTAAATTAAATTGACATGATTTTAGTTAGGGTGATGATCACAAGAAGTTTGTATACATTTAGTCCAAATTGCTTAGCATTATTATGCATTACAAATACAAATCACAAAATGAATAATGTTATGGCATTAAGTACCAGAAGACTTGTATAATTGTCAAAATGTCATGTTTTTTAAATTAAAAAAGAAATTATTTTAATCTTAATCATATAGCTTATCTTTTCTTCTTATTTATTATTAAAATTTTGGAAGAATAAAGTGGTGTGGTATTTTTAAAGCGTAATTTTGTGTTAAATAAGAATAACAAAAACCACAAAAAGGCAAAAAAAAAATATAACATTAAATAATTAAATTTTTTTATATAAATATGTATAAAGGGCTAATTGTAAAATTCTTTTATCTTTAAAAAACAAAATTATGAATATATTAAAAAAATAAATAAAATAATTATTTTATTTTGAATTTTTATTATTATTTAAATATAAACAAAACATACTATTAGTCTTTCATACATATAAAAAATTAATTTTTATAAAATAATCATTTCTATGGTAATTAAAAATAAAATTTATAATTTAGTTTATTTTTTACATTTACTGATTCTAAAAGTGAAATTTTTTATTTAATATTGACTAAAGGGCTCGAAAATGTAGTAAAACTCTAAATATAAAAAAGTAAACTATACGCATTGGAATCTATAGTCAATACTTTGTAGTTAGACTACCAAGTGTATGTGAATTCCTAACTTAATATATGGGAGGCATGAAATATTAAGATTTAGATATATTAGTACAATAATAATTATTTAAAGTTATTATATTTAGTTTATAGTTTCATTTTCATTTTAAATAAGTATAAATAATTTTTAAATAATATATAATTATGTTTACTACTTGACATTTCGGGGCTTTTTTTTACCTTCTCAACAGTTTCATAATGTTGTAATATATATTTAATTCTTCCGTTAAAGTCGGAACAATTTGCAAAATGTGGGGTTTTAATAAAATATTATTATTCAAAAATTATATGTAGTTACCAATAGCCTATATATAACTAAATACAATTACCATATTAAGTTTTATCACTTCATATTGTTTATATTGTACTTAATACTTAACTCATGGAACACATTTACTTCAGACATGGTATCTCATTCTATTATATGTATTTCAATGTAATTCTAAGAGTATTTATAGACATTTTGACTTCTTCTTCTGATTTGGTACTACAGTCCAGTGTGGACTTGGTCTCCCTCACGATCTGCCTCCATCTGTCCCGATCTTCTGCTACTCTCTTTCAGTTCAATACTCCAATCGTTCTTACATCACTATCCACGTTCTCCTCCCATCTTGTTCTTGACCTACTTCTGTGCGTGGTTGTCATCGGCTTTACTTTATATACTTTATATATGTACTTTATATATATTTACTTTGTATATGCTGCTCAGCTTTCTCTCCGGTACCATTCTTACTATATAAGCAGCCCATTGCAGCCTTTGTAACTTAATGTATCTCACTATATTATCCTTTCTTAGTAGTTCTTCAATTTTATTATTTGTTCGTCTTCGAAGGCATTTTGTCTAAATACCATATAGTGGTAATTGTGAAGGCAAACCAAATAATCATATTATACATGTTAAATTCTTCTTATTCTCTCTTTAGCGATAATTATGGAAACAAAACTTCCATTTGAGTAAAACGTTTTATAAAAAATTACGAAACTAAAAATGATCATCATAATAATATAAAAATATGACTTAAGTTCATTGCCTTTTGTAATAGTTCAATTTGAAGTAAACCAAATATATATATTTACTTAAAGGCGTATCAGAGTAAATATTCTGTGAATCATTCTGGAATATTTTAATTTACACCTTACCTACGCCACTGTATATGGATATGTTGTTGTGTGATAATTCGCTATTTTAATATGAAGCGTGGAATGCACTCGAAAGCGAAAAAGTAATTTCCTGTCTAAAAATTTATATGCGTGAAATGTTTCACGCTGTTCTTGCCATTCTTAATTTAAATGCTGATATCTAAAATTTTTAAGTTTTTCCATTCTAAGTCACCTACCATTAGATCTATGTATGTAACAAATATTTCTTTAAAAAAATATATTAGCACTGTTATGTATAACTCCAAGTGTTGGATATAAATATTCTTTTTCGTCATTTGCCTTGAATACGTTCTGCATTTCAATTGCCGGAAATGCTGTAGCATTCCCTCAGAATTGTGGAAACGTACTCATGCAAACATATTCATTTATACAAATATGTATATATGCGTATACTAATCGCAATTTAATGAATATGGGATTCATGACTTATTTGATTCATGAAGTTTTTTTTTTAGTATCAAGTAATATATAATTATTTAATTACAATAATTATCTTGATTTAACTGAAAAATAAATAATTTATATTGCTTTTACAGTTAAAGAAGTTATATTGTCGGAAAAATCCAACTTTATTATGTACATATTTATTCATTTATTAAACATCTTAAATATGAAATAGATATAGTATAAATAATAAAGTGTAGTGCTATGAGTATGTAGGTGTATGGGAAGGAGTATCGAATCTCTCTCCTCCTCAGTTAGCTGCAAAAGCTGTTTTACTTCCACATGCTATGAATACCAGAGTACATTGTAATTCACAAAAATTAAATCAGTCTGTTGTTGATATTTATTATTTATATTATTGGATATGTAATGATCTTGAAAAATTATGTGAAAATTTAAAAAATGAGAAAAAATTATTTTATTCTGGCCAAAATAATGATTTTTATAAATCATTTTAACAATTTATGTATCATAACAATTTCAAATTTCGCTTAATAGAAAGTAAAGATAATTTTTTTTTATTTCGATTTGAATAAAGCTGTTTTTCAGTAGTATTTATTATGTTATTATTTTTAAAAATTTATATTTTATGATGATATTTTATTTCATCATAAAATATTACTTTAGACACATATGTTCCCATTTAACATTATAAATGAGTTTTATCATTGACAACAATTTTAAACATTTTATAACTCTAAAATGTTAGCGTATTTATAATCTTTGATAATATAAACTATAAACTAACATATTGCAGATTTCAGGACTCTATCTTGTTTACCGATTTAGTGATATTAATTTAGATATGTGGGATAAAATAATAAAAATAATAATATAATACGTTTAAAAAAAATATTTTTAAATATGGAAGTTATAATATATAATAATAATTATTATATATATAACAATATCATAATTTTTATATAGGTTAATGCGTTTAACAAAAATTATAATACTATAATAACTTTTGAATAAATATACTTAAAACTTGAGAATTATAAGCAATAATTATTTATTATCATATAAATAACAATTTCATAATTTTTATATAGGTCAACGCATTACTACAATTCATCTCGATGGGGTACAATATTTTATCAGCCGTATGAACCCTTACTCTCCGGAATTGAATTATTTCCTTGCTTATCAGTATTGTCGTTCATTGGGTCTACAATTAGCTTCATTTGAGACTAAAGAAAAAGCTGAATCAATGACAACATATCTCAAAAATGCTGGGTATGGTAATTATGATTTTTGGACATCTGGTAATCGTTTAGGAACGGGTATGTTCCTCTGGATGAGTACTGGCCTACCATTTAATGCCACATTTGATTTCTTCGAAAATTCTGCTGATGCTATTCAAGCTGGACTTTTAGATCCCACAGATCATAACAGTAATACATCACCTCAAAGAACAGCACGAGATAGGTAAGTTTAAAAACAGTTTTTTAAAAATGAGTATAGTATGAAAAATATATATAGTAATATAATAACATATATATAAACTATATTATATTCAAAACAGTAATACTAGTTTATGAAACGTATCTAAATATTTTTATCCTTACAGTAGTAGTGGAGCTGAAAAGGGCTGCGTAATTTTAAAACAACCTTCACTAAAGTGGATGCCAGAGGACTGTTCTACTGTTAAGGACTTCATATGTGAGCAGACTCGATGCTATTATTACAACTATGGTAGCATTCCTGTTTCATCAGCGCAGGGGTAAGGAGCACAGTAATGAATCCTGCTTTGACTAAACAGACTTAAATACACCCTAATTAAAAATAAGCAGATAAAAGAAATGAATTACATTAAAATATAAATAAAGAGTAAAATTATATATATAAAAATTTGAAATAAAATAAATATTAAGAAATATAAAAATATTTAATTAATTCTAAACTCAGTGCGATCTGCATTGCAGAGCAATATGAAATATAAATATTAGGTGAGCTAAACCCCAAATCATTACATTTGTTTCTTTTCTAATCAAATTTTTTATGATGAATTTATACATTTTTTAATCTAAAGCTAACATTAAAAAATTCTTATTGTTTAACTAATTTTCAAAACTACACATTCTTAGTTTAGCTTTATTACAATTATACTTTCTAAGCTTCGGATATAAAATTGGTGTTTTGGGGATTAGCTTATTCTGTTGGCATTATAATATGATATATATGTTTAAGCTTAATTTTTTAATTTTAATTATGGGCTAAACTATTTACTAACTTTATATAAAATTCTAGCTTCTTTATAGATATATGCACTACTTCAGAAATGATACTAACTATACTGTTTACTCTAGTACATTTAATTAAATACTGAATGTTGTTCTTTTTTATATTGCTAAGTAAAATATAATTCAAACATTATTAAGTAATTTAAAATTTAATTTAATTAATAAAAGAAATATACTAATATGATACATTCAGAATTTAAATCGTATCGCAGAATTCTACTCTTACATAATTTCAAAATTACTAACAACATTACTCTGCTTATAGTATACTATTCTTTTTCTTAAATATATAAACAAGAAATAATATTATTAAATATTCGTAAATTAATATTTTCACTACATGTTTAATTTATTTTTAGCCGTCCAATAACTTCAACAACTCCTCGCCCAATTGCACCAATATTGACCAGTCAATCCTCAACCACGCCACTGCCTGCATTAATTTCAACATATTCATCTTTGATTAAAAAAACTCAGGATCATGCAGAATTACAGCAACAACCATCATTCATTTCATTAAGAATAGATCACGAAGATTCTAAAGATGGCATAAATGAAGAAGAACACGAATTCGATGATGCTGATCTTAGTGATGATGATGAACAGTCTGAAACTCAAAATACACAACATGTGCTTGATGAACATGCTCGCGAGCTTAATGATATAAAGGAGCACGTTATGCCCATGCAAACCAATGAACTTCATCGTGATGAGGTGCAAGCCATCGAAGATCTCCATCAACAACTGCAAGAAGACGAACATGAATATAATAAAGACTCAATGCTGTATGCCGAAATTAATAGCGACGAACATTCTAGTGGTGAAGAAGTCAATGATACCAATGAAAATAATACAGAGACAGAAGAACATGAAAATGTAAGTGCCCCAGCAAAGGCTACGTCTGTTTCAAGTACGTCAGAAGAGCCATCAGTCGAAGTGCGTTTAAAACAAATTTCACAAGAGATTGAAAAATTAAATAATAAAGAAACTCCTGCTTCATTGCATCCAGTTGGCATATCGCATGATAACGATGACTTCAGTCGCCAGTCATTCTTATCTCTTACAGATTTAATAAGAACTTTAAGACCCAACGATAAACAAATAATACCACAAATTGACTCCGACTATTCTAATGCAATGCGTGTATTAGGAGAAACATCAGCACTGGTCAATAACGATGAATCACATAAAAAGAGCGGAATAAATGGAAATGATCATTATACTCGTTCACTTTTCTAAGCTAGTATTTATTAAATATTTTAATATGCTAAGTAAGAAGAAAGGATTATGCCATGTAAGCATATGGCTGGTTTTACCCAAGAGTGAATTCTATTTACCACTCTTCCTTAGAACCTCTTTTCTCAAAAAAAAAGTCCATGGATTTACTACATATATAGACTTAAGTAATTTTCTTTGAATAAATTTACAAACTTTGGTTTACTTTTAAATAGATTAAATATTTTAGTTAAGTATATATAATTTAATTGGGTAAACATAAACTGTATTTTAAACTTAAATTGCAATGAATTAAGCAATGTATAAAATTCTATATAAACCGAAAATAAAAAAGTAGTTTAATTAATATCAAAACTATATATCTATACATATATGTATCTACTATTTCTCTCATATTATTGGTTATTCTTTTAATTACTTAGTAAGTTGCTTATTAGTTAAAGTATTATTATATGATTATAATTGGCTAATACTGCTTTGTTAGTCCGTGTTGATTTTGTGATTTCTGTTCTTTCAGAATTAAATAGCTTTAAAGTAGTTGATCACCTTTTATTATAATATAATCAGTTCAATAAGATGAATCAAATTATCTCATGAGTTTATCTCATTTGTAAAATGTTTGTAAATGGAACTGACTATTTGTAGGAATCACCGGAATCGATTGTTGTCTATAAACTATGTGACCATTACAGTATATATAACTGAACAATCGAAATTAACCTTTTTTACTATTTATAAATGCATTTTAAAACAACAGCAGTGATTCTTAAGAAACAGAACTAATTTGTTAATAATTATGCTTATCGGTAAAAATATTTTTTTAATTTTTATGGGAACGAAATCGCAAGCCTTATCGGGCATATTATATTAGATGGAGAGCGAAATATGATGCTGTGATTGAATAAGACTTCATTACAACTTAAATCCCAATTACTCATGTATAAGATTTATAAGAACTCTGTGTCATGATATGTAACAGTAAATAAGTGGATGACTGATTTGAAATATGTTCATATCAGCATTATTATTAAAGAACGTTCTGGATCGCAAAAACTTGTTGTTAATAGTGTAAAAAATTAATAAAAATTAAAAAACGTATACAGGCTGTAACCAATTCGTTTGATTACATTTTGAAAACATGCTTCAATATTTAGACATAAGAAGACCCTTTGCTTTTTTTGACAGAATATCTAATAATTCATAAAAATTGATTAATTAATAATTGATTAATAATAAAAATTAATTAAAATTAATTAATTAATTAATAACATCAAACTTGAACTTTTAAAGGGTTTTAAGGTTATTAATAAACTTTTTGCAGTTGAAAGATTTTTGTTATAGATGGCGTCATATCGGATATTATTTATAAGAATAGTGTCAGAATAATTAGAGACATGTAATCTGTATTATAACACTAATGAAATTCGTCAACAGAATTTTTCTTAACATGTCTCTGACAAGTTTTCGGAATTGTGAGTAAAACGATAATTATCAATGAAATAAATTGTTAATTTTATTCGTGTTTAGTTTTAGATGGCGGGTACTTTACAAAACTTATTATTCGTTATACTTGTATAATGTAGAAAAAAATGTAGATTTCATTGAAAAACGGATATCAATTAATTGACATTATCATATTATAAAAAAAATTATTATTAAAACTTAAAGTTTGTATCTAAACAATTTTGTTAAAAACCAATAAATATATAAAGCGATATGTAATATAATATATTATATAATATATAATATAATATATTATATAATATATAATCTAATATATAATATAATATATAATATAATATATATATAATATATATATAATACATATAGGGCAGATACGAGTTCTAAGCCTGGCGCTTGCAGTCCAAACAAATTATATACGGACTATAAACTAATTAAATAAAAATTCGATTATTTCCTAAGACTACTGATGAAGAGTACTTGGCAATACTCGAAACAAGTTTGTATAGTCAGCCAAATTTCAATATTAACTAAATTTTTGTGTTTGCTGTGTTTGAAACCCTCTAAATTTTATAATACATGAATAATCATGAAGCTTATAGGCAATACATAAATTAGTCAATGATATGATTGGGACCCTGTAGTACTCCCAGCTATCAAAAAGTAAAAAGATCAACATACTATATATAAGATGAAAATGAATTACGAAATGTGATCAAATAAAAATTATAATAGAATACAGAATCTAAATTAAGCAGGAGTTTTAAAAAATAATTATTTTTAGAGGAATCATTTACGTATTATCAGTTTACTTAATAACTTAAGTATGTACCATTGAAATAAGTATTAGTATAAGTCTACTTAAGCTATTAAGTAAACTCACACGAATAACAACGGTGGAGTTTCTTATGCAAAAACTTATATTTTATCCATCACTTCATATATTAACTGTTTCTTTTTTCATTTTATATATAAGAATCAAAGTCTAGAATCTTTTCAAATCATTAAAATTTCTAGTCAAAAGGAAATCAATTTTGCGATTTAATATTTGGTTTACATTAAAAAAATTATTATAAGCGTAAATGAGTGGCTTGGATTGCCTTAAATATTTCGACTTCGATATATCATTTATAAAAAAATTACACATAATTTTTTTACGTACTGATGAAGTCTGTCATATTCACAGAAAGGCTCCCTTCCTATGTAAGAATTTGTCTATTATGAAGGCATCTATTTTTTATTAAGAGATGTCTCCTACAAGAGGAGGTACTCTCTCTTCCAAATGTGTCAATTATTTTCGTTACTGTCAAGTCTGGCGTGTCGTCTAACCAAATAACAGTTACTTTTTTTCGCAACAATTATCTTAGTTTTGAGATTCATGCAAATTGTTTTAACAACTTGTTGAATAAGCATATCTATTTTATAATTCATAATAACAAATAATTATGCATTGACAAATCATTCACATTTTCAAACAGCAATAATTCCTATAAAAAACTAGTAGTTTCAACAAAAGAGGAAATTTGGTTATCTATTATAAATTTTAATTATTTATTTTTGTAATAGCTAAGTGTAACCTTAGCTATTTAACATATTTTAATAAAAATAAGCAAATTAATTACTCATTAAAATTAGGTTAATTAATGTTCTTTGAATTTAATTAATTGAATATATTATTATATATATATTACCATATATATTATATTTTAAGAATTTTATTTAACTACTTTAAATTTTGTTGAATAAATTAAAGACTTTGATTTTGCCTAGTTGCAAAACTCTTTCTAGTTGCATCTAGATATAATTTGCAGTTCTGAAATCGGCACTTGCGCTTAAAGGCGCCTAGTTGCACTAAATATATAAAATTGAAATCTAATTTCCGAAATTTCTTATAAATCTTATCAGAGAACCTAAGAAGATTGTTTGGATTGAATACTTCCTTATATCAGGGTGGAACATACTGCCAAGCTACATACATATATACACAATAACAACAGCAAATATATTTTTCACAACTTAAATTTGGTGATCCAATAGATTTTATATTTGCTGGACATTTCGAATACAGTTACAGGAAAACGCGCTATAGGGATATTCCCGTATACCCCGTATACACACGTGCAAAGGTACGCGAAGCTAATTATGAACTGTACAAATCCTCGCGTTATATGGGGGATTGAAATCGTGTAATATGAAAACGCGTTATAAGGGTACCGCGTTATAGGGAGATTACTGTATATGTTTCGAATATGATCGCAGTTTTTTTGTTACTAACTTATTTATGATATATTTAATTGATTCATTCAAGATCGTCGCAAACAGTAACTGATGAAGTAAGTAATTGACACGAAGTTAAACTTGTAAGTTTTATAGCGTTTCATTGCACATTGCGTAGATCTATAGTTTCTATAAAATAATTAAATGATCGAAACAATATTTTTACATTTAGTTGTATAAGCAAATACATTGTTGAATGTATTATTTTAGAATGCCCACAGAATCATTTCCATCATTAATAAGCACCTTAATCAGACGCTTATAATTATCAAGATGTAATTATATATTTTTTATAGTTTTATTTTGCTTCTGTACGAACTAAGTTCAAGCAAGTATTTACTACCAGAATCATCTACATATACATACAGTATACAACTCAGAACGAACTCAAAACAATATAAATATATTTTAAGTAATTCAAAAAAAAAATATGAAACTGAAGAACTAGAAATTAACCTTGAAAAATATTGCATAGTCCAACGAACGAAGGATAAGAAAATTCAAAGAAATATTTTCAAATTAATGAAGTCAATTTTAGTTGCAGTGCTTAAGAGTCAAAGATATTTATATCCGTAAAGATATTTATATATGTGCATATACAAATACACACACTTGGGTGTATTTTATAGGATAGGTAAAAACCCTTGCTAGCGTGTGAGCTTTATACTGCGGATATTGTATGTATGTATACACTACCCAAAGGTTAGTTTTTGCTCTTTCAATATTTCACTTCTGTAGTCGTTGACTTCATTTCTAATCTGGTTTTATAGTTCTTGTTTTATGATGAATTCGGATTGGCGATAAGTGCCTAAAGTTTTTTTTTAACTATAAATTATTGTATTGTAGTTTCAGTTCGAAAAAGCTGACAGAGGAAAAAATAATTACAGTTCGTCAAAAGATGTAGTGGCTCCTTTTACATTCGAATTTGAATATAAACAAGACGTGAAGACTGGTCTCTAAAAATTCCTTACTTATATTTATGGTGGAAATAGTTTTGCACCACTTTAACAAATATTTTAATATTCAAGTAAGATATTATTACAGTTAAGAAATAAATGGAACAACTTTAACGGCACTTTATGTTGTATGTACATAAATAGGTATGTGCAAGTATAGTAACTTATAGAAGTTATTAGCTTATAAAGGGATCTTGTGCTTTGGTGCATCGTACTGCAGATATAAAATGCAAACAAATTAGTCTGCTTTTAAAATAATAGAATATAATTTATGTTATAATTCATAAATGATGTTGATGAGTATATTAGTAAAGATGTCCTTAATATAAGGTCAGCTCATTAATAAATATTTTTATCTCGTATTAAACTCGGTTTAACACACTAAATGAGAGTTCCAATGTAACTCAAGTTTGGTTTCCCAGACATTCTAATATAGTAAGAAATGAGCGCGCAGACGAGCTTGTTAGACTGGGTGCCTCTTTTACGAATACACCAATTTCAATCCCTGTCCCTGCAAGCTACGGTTGGAGACTGATTTATGACCATTTTTTGCAACAGGTAAATAGTGAGTGGGCTCATGTCGCCTCAGCAGTCAAGTCAAGGGCTATATGGCTGATGTATTCTAAATGTAGAACCTCTGACTTTATATACAGAAGCAAATCAGAGGTATCTAGCTTAATATCTATCTTTACAGGACATATCTTTATTAAATATGTCTATATTAGTATATTAAAAATAATAAAAACAGTGAAGAAGCTTCGAAATAGAAGAAGGCGAAAATGAAGCAGATATAAACAGGTCTAGTCTTCAATCTTTCTTATCATCTTTGGTTATAATCTACGTTACGTTATATACTATAATCACCAGGATTAAAATTCATGAATTGCGTTTGCAGAAACAAAACAAAAACATATTTCAGATTTAAAATTAATTTTTTATATAGATTATATAGATTTACATATATAATAATTTCAATAATAATAACTTTTTTGAAATAAATATTTTAATTCCATGATGCAAACAAAATTTTTTTAAATAATTTATTTCATACACACTTGAATTTAAAATTTTATATAATTTTATGTAAATAATACTTTGTCTAAAAACATCAAACTCAAGTTTTCAATTGTTGTTCTCGAAATTAAATCGCTTTACCCTTCTAATGTCCTGTTGATTTTCCTTGATTGGTATGGACTCAGGTAAAAGTAAGACTGGTCGTGCAAGATCGACAGGAGGTGCTGCAAGGTTTTCTGTTTTCTGGAACTCCTGAAACAAAGTATTTTTTTTAGGTTAATATTAATATTAAATATGTGATATTTTGTAAAAATTGTTTATATATAATAATAAAAATAAATAAAACATATAAGCAAGTTTGTGCAACTTCCAGGGGTTGTATTTTAGGAATTTTTTCAAATCCTTCATGGTGTTTTTGCCGGAATATATGCTGAGACGTAAATGCAATGAAAACTGTTACACTTGAAAAACTTTTATGCAAGTTTCTAATATTTAATATGAAATTTTAAAATATTTTTTATAATTTTAATATAAATAATAAATGAAATCTAGTTAAGCTTATATTTAGGTTGCGAAAGAATTACGTTAAACACTACATATTCGTATTAAAAAATATTAACGAATATTTTAATATTTGTTAAAAAACAGTATAATCTATAATATCTAAATCCTAATGATTTATATCTTTAAACTTTCAGCAGTTCTTATATTTAAATTTTTACACGTTTTTTTAACTATTTTTTTTTTGTTATTAATATAATATAAAATATACATATAAAAAAAATTATCTGTAAAATATATTTATAACTTAGATTAAAAAATATTAAATTCTTTCGAAAATAATATTTTAAATATTTTTATTTTGTGAAATTTACTTACAACATTCTGACTCTTAGATATAGAGTCATGATTTTGAGGACCAGGAGTCGATAAAATTGTAGTGCACATACAAATTAATATTAAAAATGATAAGATATTCATTTTTTTTGTTAATAAAACACACAACAGAAAGACTTAAACAAACTGAACTCAAATATTAAATTAAATTAATTAAAAATTAACTGAAGCCTTTCCCGAAAATGCCTTGAATGATATGAAATTTTAAATATTCAAATGAACTTCATTTTAATTCTTTATAAACAAAAATTCAGAAAGTTAAATGAGATGTAAAGGGAATGCTCTACATCATTCATATTAAATTTTAAATTTGGCTTATACCCCAAATTAAAATGGTATGTTAATTTCTGACACTAATATTTAAAATGTTTAACTAATATATTAAATAAATCATCAACTCTCACACACGTACTCACTGATCAACTTAATTCAAAAATAAAAAGTTAACAAAAATCAAAGTGCTAGTTCACAGCACCAAAAAAAGCCAAAACAAAATAAAAATAAAAAAGTAGCATACGACACAATTAAAAATATGAAACCAAAATAAAAAACTGTCAGCAGAAAGTTTCTATATATGAATTTTTTTAATTATTTCATTTATTTTTTTATATTTAAATACTAAAATAATTGTTTAAAGTTAAGTTATGGTGCACAAATTGCATATTGACTTTAAGATAAATTTTGGGATAGCATTATATCTATAATATTTAACCAAGGATCTTGATTTGAGTATAAGAATCCTGTAAAATGGTATAAGAAGTGAATGGAATTGTTGTTTTTTTTTTACTTACAAGTAAATGTGAATACAGTGCTATGAACCTGTGCTAAGAGGTTCACGGTTAATGAACCGTATTAACCGTATGAACACGGTTAATGTTAATACTAAACACGGTTGTTTGTAATTGGATGAAAATATATTATGTTTTTGTACAAATAAGTTATTTACATGATTACATTGAAACCTCTTTTTTTATTAAATAACATACATAATATTACTATTATATTCATAAGGAGATCGTAATGCTTAAGATATACAAAAAATTAGTAAGAAAACGTAATTTATATGTCCCACATTCTTTATTTAGTGAGAACATTTATTTTACGTTCCTTATTTTGAATAATCATATCAAATATTTGATCGGTCTTTATTTCTGATATGCATTAAAGCGAGTATCTACTGTATATTGTTTTAATATTAATATAGATACATAAATTTATGTAGTGAATCTATGTATGTAGACTGAATAGTTCTCTTCGACACTACAGATCTGAATATATATAATAAGTTTCAAAGTAGGGGTTTAAAAATTTTTTGATACTATAGTGACACTAAGGATAAAGTATTTTATAAAATAAGTTTTATAAAAAAGGCCTCGATAGTTCTAAGTGACAGTAGTTTTTTTTTTATCGGTTCATATAATAAATTTCATATAAACAAATGTAGAGTATGATTCAGTCAGTTTAGATAAAGGCAAAAAATTATTTAAAATAATAATGGAAAAAATAATTAAAATTTTAAGCTTTGACAGATAAAATATATTTAAAATTTTAACAAAATAAAATTTAAACTTTATTAAGGTACAATACTACTTCATTTAATATAATTAATAAAAGCAAACAATTTTAAAAGTCCGACAAAACACGATTCATAAATTATTTGTTTGCTAAACAAAAAAAAAAACAAAAACAATAAAACAACTAAGTTGAACGTTCTATTTTTTATACTGGTTTCGAATGGCACCGACATATAATTAACAAATCTCTAATTAAGCTAACATATGTGATAAACATTATATTATTGTATAATAACATTACACATAGCACTTAAACCTTCTAATTCTTCCATAATTTAACTGTTTTGAATAACAATATTATAGAAAAATGTTTAAATAATTATAAATTTCGTTTCTACAATTACAAAATGTCCTCACTAATTAAACTTATATTTAAAATATTATTTTCGTTATAAACAAAACTCTTAAATATATTATATAATATGTGATATATTTACAGAAGTATGGTTTTAAGTCTCTGATTAATAAGGAACGGAATAATCGGAAGATACTTATAGAAGTATGGCGATCTGTCCCTGATTAATAAGGAATGGAATAATCAGAAGATACTTACGGTGATATGTAGTTGATTAATATAATGAATGGAATAATCAGGAAGGTGACTGTTATATTATAAATTCTATTGCCTATTATATATTTTAGGTAGTGCTATCTATTTCTTGCAGTACATGATAATTATATAAAGAATACCTTGTAATCACTATCACTATCATTTTAGTGTTTATCTATTTTAACTCTTAGGGAGATAGGTTGGAGTAACGGTCTATTATATATTTTAGGTAGTGCTATCTATTTCTTGCAGTACATGATAATTATATAAAGAATACCTTGTAATCACTATCACTATCATTTTAGTGTTTATCTATTTTAACTCTTAGGTAGATAGGTTGGAGTAACGGTCTTGTTTCCAAAAAGCCCACTTGTGCTCAAACAATAGCCCATTGTGGTACCACAGGAATAGCATTGATACGTTCAAAGATTTAAATTAGTATATAACCAAAACCGAAAAAGCTAACGACTCCCCCTTTAGATAAAGGAAAACTAGCCTGACAGTTCTATAAACTTGGCCAGGTCCCTAACGTTACAGCGTAACAGGTGAGAAAACGGGATTCGAAAATTTTTAATCATCATCTAGCTAAAGAAGGACACTGACACACAAGATGGAGCACGGTCTCCTCCTCATCCTTAAAGCCACAACCTCGACAAAAATTATTATAGGGTAGACTCAGTCTCATAGTATAACTGTTTCGCAGTGTCCCATCAGCATAGATACCGTGATGCTGAGCAGGTTCCGCCTTAGTTGAAGTAGCTGAGTAGTTCGTTTCTTGTCTAAATTAGACCAAGTTAGCCTTGATTGGTTCTGCTCAGGTATTTTTGTTTAATTGCCAGTTTAAATGTAGCAAGTGGAACGCTTATGTCTGAGAAGTGAATGTTAGGGAGAAAAGCGCCTGCCTTGGCGAAATTTTAACCATTACTAAAATAAATATATTTGACGTTTGATATAAAATTTTAATATTTATAAACTAAGAGAGATATTTGAGATACAATAAGCATGCATCAGGATACATCATCACTTGGTAATGTAAATATCAAGTGACTTACATATTTATGTATGTAGATACCATACTTATAAAATAGCCGATATAATTTATTGTTTATCGAATTATAATTGATAAAGAAATGAGATTGACATGCCTTTTTGTTAATACAAGTTAGAAATAAAATTGTAATATAATGTAATTTTTATATTTACAATTATAGCTCTGTATAAGTTATAAAAAATGATAGTACACGTCAACAATTTTTTACTGAATAAATCATTACAGACAAAAATTACATTTTCGCTAAATTATTAATTAATATTTTTTTACCTTAGGGTTGGGAGGGTATCAATTACTACAACAATATCTATTGCTGTATAGTTATATGTATTTAGAAACATATGAATATATAGTAGATTTAATACTAAAAGTTAAATTCAGCAAAAATGATTTGAAAAAGTTATTAGAATACGAATATGCGTTCAATTTACCTAGGAAAGTAGCAGCCAAACCGATGATGGGGCCGGAACCTTTCTGTGGAAAAGAATATAGTACGCTCCTTTCTCTCATAAAAATAAACGAGAACCAGAATAAAAAGGATTACTGGGATGATATACCAGGATTAACACAACCCAAATTACTTATTGGTACTTAAAACAATAAGAAATAGCAGGATTGTATGAACCTATCAAAAAAAAAAATTAGAATCATCACAGAAATCCTAACTGCACTGTAAACTAAAATACCATCTTACAAGACTGGGTATACTTACGGATGCAAACTATATATTCTGTGAAGAGAATGAGGAGTCGGCCACACATGTGCTGTTAGAATGCCCAGAGGTAATGCACATACAGAATAGGTTCCTGAAAATGTATACTCTTGCGGAAGAGGCAATTAAACTCTGTAAAGTAGGTTTAATTGACAGTGCCCTTCAAGAAACCATCGCTAGACAATGCAAAAATATGATGTAAAAGTATCATTGCAATTGGCGTCAGATTATTTTATTGGTTCTTAAATGATTCTAATTAATTCACAAAATTTCTTATTTGATTCTAATTATCAAAATTATTTTTATATATTATTTCTTTTAATCATTGTTATTTTGACGTATTACCTGCTTTACTTTATTAATTATTTATTTTTGCATATTTATTTTTTTTAATTTGTGTTTTATTAATTCTCTTACTAATAATAATTTACTGAAAAGAAGAAATTGTTACCTTTTTATTAGAAACCGTGGGTACGTCACTGCAACGATATGAAGTGAAAGTATCATTGCAATTGGCGTCAGATTCTTTTATTCGTTGTTAAATAATCGTTATTAATTTACATAACTCATTTATATTTCTATATATATTATTTCTTTTATTCATATTTAAATAGACGTATTACCTGCTTTCAGCTTAAATTATTTGGGCATTTTTATTTATTTTTAATTTCTGGTTTATTAGTGCTCCTACCAATAATAATTTATTGAAAAAAAGAAATTATAACTTTTTATGGGCTACTACATTTTTCACAAAATTAAGTAATTAATGCCGTCTTACCGGTTGAGTATGTTTTAAAGTCAAAAACATTTATATATTATTATTTGATTAGGAATAATATATTTATAAATCAAAGTAATAAACAATTTAAATCCCTTTTCTTTACTAATTATAGAACTATTCAAATACTAAAAATTACGTATAGCAAAATATATACTAAAGTAAATACAAACACATATATCATTCTAATTCTTATAATCAAAATTGATATAAACTTTTATCATTATTTATGAATAATTTAAATTAAAAATATATTAATAATGTATACACTAATTTGTGATATGCTACTTATTTTTATCGTTAGAAATTAATCTAAACATTTCTCAGAAAATTAAAAAATAACATAATCATATGAATTATATTTATATATATATTTATAATATTTATAAGTTTATACATATTTATACATATATACATATGATTTGTTGGAATTATAAAAACTAGAAAAAAAGTTCGCTTTGGCTTTGCCGAGGCTTAAATGCTTTTCATACAGTTACTGAGTTTCAGATGAAACCATAATGATCTACTCGTATGGCTGATATATTTAATTTAACTAATTATTAATTTAATACGATCTAATAAATTTTTGATTGTTAATTCTAATTTAATTAAAATTTCATAGAAATCAAATTTAATGTATTAATGTTAAAGAAATACAATATTGTATTTATAAGAATAAAATTATGAGAAAGAGAACCAGTAGATTCTATTATACCCAATCTAAATCGATTGGGTCTATATTGTATGCTAGTACATATGTTATTATAATAATAAATATTAAAATATTTGAAGAATACATCGGTAAGTATAAAAGTTGTTTGCAAAAGAAAACTATGTTTGAGTAATTGACTTGGATAGGATTAAAGATCGCTAAAAAATTTTTTGCAGAACATATAAAAAACACTAGTTTCTTAAAATTTTGGCATATAATCGTACCCACAATGATCTACGCCTTTTTAAGGAAACCCTTTAAGAAGAGCTTTAATAAAGACTTCTGCTTAGATAACTTTTGGATGTGATCTAAAGTATCCCTCTGAAATTTGCTTATAGGTATTAGATTTTAAATAGTAACTTCAACTTCAAATTTTAATTTCCTTTAATTTGATTATAATTATAATTAATTAAAAATTCTATGTGTAGACGACCATTATGTTTCTTTTAATTTAATACGACTATACCACTAATTTCAAATAATAATCACTATTGATGCTTTTCCCCTTTTAAGAAATATTATCCTAAAATATAGGTAAGGTTATGCTGGCAGACCAAAAAGTCCACGCGTACTCTGAATTTTTTTTTTTTTTTAGAGATAGTGTGCATTTATTAGGATACGCGTGTTATTAGCGAATTTTATTAGGAGTCCTAAACCATCAACCATTTGATAGATTGTTTATATTTATATAAAATATAGCCCATTTACTTTTGTTATCATTATGATGTTGTTATGATATGTATTTTTACAATAGTCGTTATATTTAGAAAAGCATATCATATGTAAGTTATATGATTTGCTTTTCTTTGTTTCAATAGTGTTTCTTTAAGTGTTTAAGCAAATGTAAAACTCTTTTCATATCGTTGAGCTAATCTATAATGTTAATGGAAAATAAGGACTATAGTGTCTTCGTTATTGTATTACAAACATCTTAACAAACTTAATATACCATTTTTTAAACTATATTTGTACAAATTATGACGCATATAAAAAGCAGTTTGAACTACTTCTTATAATCAGTACATACAAAATAAATTAAATCTTAATAAAGTTATTTCAACTTGATAAAATAATTAATGTTTAGTTTAGAGAAAATATATTTTTACTTGGTAAGTCTAAAACCTGAAACAACGTCAATCTTTCAGAAAGTTGTTTAGAAGATTAATAGTTATAGCATATTAAGATAAATATGCCTATTTATCTTATACATTTGTAATTTATGCAGTAAATTGATATAAACTGTGAGAAATTTATTAATTTTATTTATTAAGTACTTTTAAGTTATCTCGATTATTTTTTTGCAATAATGCTATAATGCTATACCTACTAGGAAAATTCTGATATAGAAAGTAAAGTAATGATTACTAAAATTAGATTTCAAAATAAATAATTCCTTTTAGTTTATTTGCACCAGTTAATAGTGGGATGCTTTGGACACAGTTTCAACGATTGCTACAATTGCAGTTTTATCCTCTTATACTTCATTCATGAAAGGCATGAACGCACTAAATATCATGTAAAGCACCAATCACAACACACTCCATTTTTATTTTATGGTTTAAAAAATTAGAGACATTAGAAAGTTAAATAAATAATAAAATTCGCATAATCAAATCGCATAAAGTAAATATTTATTTTAACATTATTACATTATATTTTAATATAATTATTTGCATATAAATCACTTAATGACTACAAATTCTCGTTCTTCTCTTAGAAAAATTATATTAAGTGTAAGTACATTAATTGCATTATCGCTTGCCTTACTAACTGGGTTTCTATTACCTTAATTTATTCAATAGTTCTGGATATTATATTCATACTTAATGGTTACATACAAGTTTAAATAATAACCTAAATGTTTTAAAACAAAAAAATAAATAAATAAATAAAAAATTGTAATGAATTAAAATAGTAAATTATGTATTTAAATCAGTTAAATAATATATTGAGATATCGTTTAAAGATTACTGATAATACTGAAAAGCTTGTAGTCTTAATTTATTTAAAAATTATTAAACTGAGTCTAAAACCAGTTACTGTTTATTAATTTTTAATAATCTTTATCAGTGGTGGGCATAACAATGTGACTATAACTTCTTTGAATGAATGTATTGAACTGTTTTGAAAAATGTTTGAGATCCAAGTTTGCCCACCACTGATCTAAATTAACTATTTGTGACTTTAGCTATTTTTAATTTATTTAATTAGTTTCAAGAGAAGATTCGCATATTAACATTTCATATTTTACTATAAAAGGGGAATATACAACTAACATTAACCATTGTTCAGTTGTCTAAGGTTGGTTGAACGCTGGGGAAAAAATTAATATTAACAAAATCAATTGTTGTGCATATTTCAATTGTGTTAAAATAAATTTCTGACAAAATATATAATTTAACAAACAAAATAATTTTTAAGAAAAAATAATAAACTTTTAATACTATTCTAATGTTCGTGTAAGAGTGTCGAAAATTATAATAGATCGCTATTAGTTTGCAAGAGGGGTCTTACTTCAAACTGTGAAATAATACAATAGTTTATAATGTTAAACATAATACTAATATATTGTATATATAAATTTTTTAAACAAGTAGTGACAGAAAAGATGAACGTTTGTTACTGCATAATGAAATAAAATCAAAATACTAGTATATTTTAAAAAAATCTGCAAGTGATACAATTTGTTATACAAATTTATTATTTTTATAAAAAAAATAATTTTTTTACAATAAAGTTGAATTTATTGTTTAATCAGCAATATTATTACATATGAAAGTCATAAAGATTACATTAATTTTGCGGCATCAACATTTTTTTTTAAGATTATTTTTAATGATGATAATTCTATTTACATGATATTTATCGCATCGACAAATTATTTTTACTCATTAACAATCTTTTTAAATGTTATATTCAGTTATTTCCAGTTTTTTTTTTATTAACATAAAGTTGCGAATACAAAGTTAAAGAGTTTTATATCATAAAAATAATTATTAAACGCGAAAATTCAAAATAACAACGGGAAAAACTGCTTTTTTGCTTTTATAACCTTTAAAAATTGTGATAGCTGTAATATATAATCAAATAGACTACAATGTACCATTTTTTCTATATACAACACACCAATATTTATTTGGTTACTTTTTAAAATTATTACAAGTTCTCAGCAGGACTGCAAAGCTAAGTTTGCTGGTAAATTATTTAATGACAGCTCTTAACCCATCCTATCCTCTCACCAAGATAAGTCTCTCTGATATGACAAATATGGATTCGGTTATATTATTTTTAAATGTCCAGTTTTGATCCCTTCCACATGTAAAGTTTTAGAGCGAGTGATTAGAAACTTTTTTAAAAAATGACATTCTGACCTACATAAGAAGAATTTTAATCTATCAAATATGTTTATACAGTTTTATTTATTTATTTTAGAAATTGTCACAATGAAGCTGTTTCTTATATTACCACTTCTAGTAACAGTTGTTACTGCACAATTTGGAGGTTTTGGCGGCTTGGGACAAGTTGGCAGTGCAATTAATAGAGGAGTTGGAAGCTTGGCTTCACGTGTTCAATCATTGCCAGTTGTTAACAACGTTGCAAATTTTGCAGATTTCGCTGTAAATTCAATTTTCAATTTTAAATATTGGAATTAATAATTTTATCTGTATAACTTTACTAAGGCACAAACTGGTAAAACCTATGCAGATGCCGCTGAGCGCACTTTGCGTGAAAATTTGTTTACGGCTAGAAAGAGTTTGGTTGATGCTAATAACGCCGCTTTTGCTGCAGGAGGAAAATCCTATGAATTAGCAGTAAACGCATTCGCTGATCTCACAAGTGGAGAATTTTTGTCAAGACTTACAGGCAACAAAAAATCAGCACAAGGAGAGTACGTTTAAATTTAATCTATACTATTTTACTATAAATTTGAACGGCAATTGATACTAACATATGCCTAATTTTCTAATTTAGATCCAAAGCTAAGGCGCATCGTCAGCTCGCTAAACCCAAAGCTGGACCTGTTCCTGATAGCTGGGATTGGCGCGAAAAAGGCGGAGTTACACCTGTTAAATTCCAAGGTGAATGTGGTTCATGTTGGACATTTGCAACAACTGGAGCTATTGAAGGTCATATATTCAGAAAAACTGGCAAACTTATTAGTCTTTCCGAACAAAATTTGGTCGACTGTGGTAAAGAAGATTTTGGTTTGGTTGGTTGTGATGGCGGTTTTCAAGAGTATGCATTTGAATTTATAACTTCAAGTCAAAAGGGAATTGCTTTTGGAGATAAATACCCATATTTAGATAAAAAAGATAAATGTTCTTATCAAAATGGTATTAAAGGAGCAGAAATAAAAGGTTTTGCTGCCATAACCCCAAAAGATGAGAAAACTATGAAGGAAGTAATTGCAACTTTGGGACCTCTAGCTTGCTCTCTTAATGGTTTAGAATCATTATTGTTATATAAAAAAGGAATATATGCTGATGAAGAATGCAACAAAGGTGAGGTAAATCATTCAGTCTTAGTTGTTGGATATGGTAGTGAAAATGGTCAAGATTACTGGATTGTTAAAAATTCATGGGATAAGAACTGGGGAGAAGATGGATATTTCAGATTGCCACGCGGAAATAACTTTTGTGGTATTGCTATGGAATGCAGTTATCCAGTTGTGTAAAAAAATAGATTTAAGTTAATCTAAATTTTTTGTATTTGGTAAATTTGTTTATAAAAATGAACGATATTAATGAAATATTGAAACATGAAAATTAAAAAAACAAAAATTAATTAAAAATATACTAATAGAATTTTAATTGTCGTTTAAAATATGAGCAATATGCTAAGTATCCTTATTGAAAACAATAAGGGCTAAATACCCTTATGTGACCAACTTGTGTAAAATGGTAAAATATTATAGGTGTATTCAGACATGCTCAGTGAATCGGTTAAGTTTTGTGTATATTTGTTTGTATAACATAATGTTACCGAGTTACCCAGGTTACTAATTACCAAGGCATCAGGATAAAACCTCCAGTAAAATGTACAGTAAAATGGATCCGTTGTGTGTAGCAGTTAATTATATATGCTTAGAAACGAATGTGCTACAATTTTCGATTATAACATGTCGCAGTATTTTGTCATATTAGTAAGGGTAACATGCGTTACAAAATACGTTGCAAATGACTGTATCATTCAATTTCCTTTAGAGCCCTATCCAATTACTATAGTAAGTAGCAAATGAAGCCCAAAAATCTAAACATTTCGTCAACTGCACTTATTAGCAAACGTTACACTATTGTGGTTTTTGCCACTACTACTTAGAATGTAAAGGTTTCAATTATATTAATTAAACTGCAATTGCACCTGCCTTACCCCTTTATAGTGTCTTATTTGTTGTGATATTAAATTGATTGACTTTTGTTTAGTATCTGTTATTTATTACTGGAATGTGATGATTTTAATGGGTTGAATGCTTACTAATTACTAGTAATTACTTGATTTAAGCATCACAAACAGCACAATAACATATTTGCATATCAAAACCAATTGGCTAGCAGCTGCAGGCAAAGATGCATTGTTCGAACCAATTTTAAAACTACATTTCACAACACTGTTCAAAAATGGGGTTGGGAGGAAATGCAACTCTGTTTATTTACTTTAAAGTTTTCACCTATACATAAAGTTGACCGAAAAAAAAACGTTTATTTACATGTGAATCTTATAATCAAAAATTTAATATTAAGAAAATGTTTTACATTTAAAACCCGTACAACATAGATGCATTTAAATGCAAATGATGTAATAAATCAATATGTAAACATTACTCGTAAAATGTTTTTGATTTACTAGGTAAATATAATATAAACACCGATGAACTTTGCACATAAACATAAAATTTTATTTTATTAAATAAACTTTGTGTGGTTTTAATGCGGTTATTATAATTTTAATAAATTTAATTTTTTATAGATATACTATTAAAGGAGTTATCGTCGTCTTAATATTTCTAATTAAAGCATTAGTCAAAATGGATGAGGAAATACTGAACACGATTCATTCACGTTTTGGAAAAAATGTAAATATAGTCGATTGCGAAAAAAAATTTGTTGAACAAGAAGAAGAGACTTTGCTTGTCAATGGGGTACCTATCAAGTTAGATAATTTAAGTGGAGATAAAAATGCAATAAAAACTGCATTACAAAATGGTCAAATACCTTCAATAGATGTTTTCAATGAAATGCTTTTACAAGCAGGCATTCAGAAACAAGAAGTTCAACTTGAAACATCAATATCTGTTAAATCGATTGTCACAACAAAAGAAGAAATATCTATCTCTCGTAAAGGTAAAACACTGGAAAATCAAAAAACTGAAACTCAAGAAAATTATTTATATGAATCGAAACAAAAAGAATCTCTTCAACCATTCATAAAGAAAAATAACGGAAAAGATTGCAATAACCTTAAAACAAAATTTGGTTCCAATGCTACTTTTGCAAAGGATTCCACAACTAATATTAAGCAATCTGAGCATTTAGTAACAAGCAACAATCCATTAAAGACTTCTTTTAGTAATTCTGATACAAATGCTAGTTACAGTAATATATCAGAATATTCAACTATGTCTGCCAACTCATCAACAGATTTAGAAAATCATGATTCCGCTATAGGTGATTTGCTAGAAACATACAATTTAAGCGATCACAGCAAAAAGTCCACAACTAGTTGTGATTCAGGACATCATGGAGATGTAAACAATATTTCTGATCTGGAGATGGATACAACAAAACTTATCTCGAAGTTAAAATAATTCCAAAATAGTATTAAAAATGATTACACATAAAATCAAAAGCAATACATTGTAACAATTAAAATTATTTTAAAAATGAGCTTTTTCTCTTTATTCAGAAATAAATTATATAACCAAAGATATTAAATTTGTGGTTTTATATAAATAATCATGAGTTTTGATTACGTTATATATTTAAATACTTAACCAAACACTTTACATATAATAGATTGTGCATCTGTATACATATCTACTTCCTCTTATACAAGTTTCCAGCATTCAATACTTTTATTTCTATGTAAATGACGCTTTTTTTATTTGTTTTATTAAACAAATTAGTTTTATGTGTTTTTATAAAAAATGTTTTAATATATCTAGATTATTTTACAAAAAGTAGTTCAGACAAAAAAATTTTAGTATATAATTCGCATTTTACTTTATATTAAATTATGTGATTGTTATAGTATTACAATGCATTATAAGAGAAATAAAAAATATATTGTGATTAAATATCTATATATACAGATTTTTGAAAAAGCTAAAATATAACTATCCAAAATAATAGGGAAGAAATTAAAATATGTTTAACGAATAGTTGTGAACTTTTGAAATCCAAGTGTACTAAATTTACCAAATAATTCTAAAGGATAGTGACGACCTTCCACTGGAGCATGAATTCGTATTTGTCGCATATGAGTATCACGCCCATTCTGATGATTAGATATAACAGCGATCTGCAACATAAATGTTCGAATGGATTTCATATTTCCATCTCTTATTGGTATGAAGACCCAACCTATGTAAATTTGTAAGTTTTAATTATATACCAAAAATATTTATTAAAGTAAACATTTTATACATACCAGTGGGTTCATTCAGATCAATTGTTTGCAATTCTTGCAAATCATTGAAATGTGTTCCTGATCGAATAGAAATTCTGGAAGGCGTATAACTCTCATCTAATTTATAATCTGTGTAAATGTATATTTGGCTTATGTTTGTTTTGCGATGAAATTGTATATTGACTAAGTGTGGCAACTGTCCATCAGATTGCCAATAAGTGTCAGTGATATTATCTCGTAAACGCTCCACTCCGAAACCTTAAAAATTATTAAATAAATATATTAATAATAAAAGTATTCCAAATTGGTATCATTCATACTGAATTGTATTAATATATTTAAGAAACGTTTGGAAGGTTTACCTGGCTTGCAAGATGAAAGACTCCACACTGCTTGACTACCTACTTCACGAACATTTCCCATACGTTCTTCTGTTAATGGATCTTCATCTCCAACAATTTTTCTTACTAATTCATCTTCCATTATAACCCCATTAAAGAATTTAAACCATATATTAAATAAAAACAAAACAATTTCCTTTTTTACTATTGCAGAAACAACAAATTTATTTTTTTAATTTGAAGTTTAAACATACCTTCTAAAATATTAGGCTATGTGCACACAGTCGCAGCAAAATTGTTGAAAATTTTTGAAACTATTATAATAGATAACGCAATTACTAAAAGATTAAGGGATTAAGGTAACTTACACACTTCACTTGTTAAGCAGGTATCTGTGAGTAAATTTAAGGGTTAATAATAGGCGTTTTCGGTGGCTCGCAAGTATGGCAAAAAACACATGCTGGTCTATATTCACTGAGCGAGTCATTGGCATCACTATTGCAATCTATCAATTGTTTTGTTTTTACAAAAAGCAGATCTTGGATATGTTCCATGTTAATAATTAACATATTAAAACATTTAATGTGCTTTGTACTTACGATTTCTCCATTACTTTTCAAGATTTTTATATAGTTTTAAATTATTTGCTTTTTTTCCAATTTTTAATGAAATTTTTCAATTTTGTTTAAATTTTTGTTTCAATATGATTGCAATATTCATTGGAATTTCCAATGAAGGTTCACAATAGTTCGCTTATTGTGTTGGTGAAACTTTTTTCTTTACTGGTCGAAGTGTTTGGCCAGTAAACAACTACTGGCCTATATGGAGAAAATAGTGTTGTTGTTTTGCGTACATTTCAGCCAGTATAGGAACGCAATTTGCTGTTTTTTGCCATACTGGCGAGCCGACGAAAAGGCCTAATATTGCATATTTATTTTGAATTCGACAATTAATAATAAAATAAATTGGTACATTTTTAAAACATAATTAATTTATAATTAACTTTTTATAATTAAACTTTTTATTTATAACATTAAAAATTTTTTCTTGACATAATGTATGTATAATAATGAAAGAACTTTTTCAATGTCTTGAAATTTCAGTTCTATAATCTAAATCACAATAAAATTTGTATGGATATCGAAAAAATCCAATTAAGAACGAAACTGTCGAAAAATCAATATATTTTGATTTCCATCAGTCTGCATGACATACATGCAAATTTTGCTATTATAATTGAGACTTAAGCATGATATAGACGATGAAATTTGTTTGCAAACCAAATTTGCAAACCGAATATGCACTTTGCTATACACTTTGAAACAAGGTTGGCAAACTTCATTTTGATTTATTTTCTACAGCGTTCATATCAACAGCGGAGCAAGTACAGAGTGCAAAACAATAATTGAAACTGAAGAAATTGAGGTGATGATCATAGCAACCTGTTATTTATTTCATTTTTTAAACTAAAATTATTTTTGTTTCAATTTTTTAATATGTTACATTTTAAAATTTTTATGCATATAATAATTGTTTAAATATTAAAGCTTACTATAAAAATGTTTTTAGCACAAAATAATTTTTAAAATATATAAACTTCTTCAATAGTTGTCTAATGTCTAGCAATTTTTTAATTATTTTTCATTTATTTTTCTTTTTACCAAAAATTAATAATTTTTTTCCGTAATCTTTGCTTGTCCGACGCTCACCAAAATTCTTAAATTATGAGAAGTTTGCAAATTTCGATATACACAAGCAAACGAGTTTGCAAACTTAACAAATAATTGAAAAATTTTAATTTCACTGCAAACTAGTTTGCAAACCAAATTTTGGTTTGCAAACTTGAGTATAGACGATGCAATTTGATAGCCAGCAAACCTTGTTTGCAAACAAATTTCATCGTCTATATCATGCTTTAGTTGAAATAAAAAAGCTAAGCGCAATATGTTAGCAACTAAGTAAGATATGTAATATATATTTTTCATATACAAACTGTAACATCTAACTAAGCTTGGTATTATTGTACTATGTCGTGATGTTGTTCCATTGTTATTTTTGTTCCACTCGTATTGAAGTCAAATAACATAATTGACAGAAGTTCAAACGCGTGCATTCAATATTTGTAAACAAAAGTAAAACATGGTGCGGAAATTAAAATATCACGAACAAAAATTATTAAAAAAAGTTGATTTTATTTCATGGAAAGTTGATAACTATGGAAAAGAGAATGCTATACTTCGTAAATATCACATAAAGAAACGGGAGGATTACACAAAGTATGAATAATAAAATTATTAGTAATGATCTTTATAACATAAAATTTTTTCAAAGGTATAATAAGTTGTCCAGAGATGTACGTGAACTTGTAGAAAAAATTGCTAAGTTAGATAAAAGTGACCCTTTTAAAAGTGAAGCAGAAGAGATGCTTATGAGAAAGCTATATAGTATGGGAGTTGTCAATTCAACAGATTTAGAAACGGGGAGTAAAGTTTCGGCTAGCGCATTTTGTCGTAGGCGATTACCAGTTGTAATGGTGAAAAGTAAGTACTGTATATTTTTATTAATATTTGAATGTTTATGAAATTAGGTATTCAAATCTTACAAATAGAGCAGTATACCCTTGATACCCTTTGAATAACAAATTTATCACAGTAACTAAAAAAGTTTAGATTCATAAACATTGCAATTTCTGAAATTTTCACACTATGGTTGTTACCAAATTGCGTGAACAACAAACGTTACCATTCGATGGATTCTTATGTTAATGTGAGACAAAAATTCGATTTGGGAATGTAATTGCATCACTTGCTCCGGAATATTTTATTTATGGTAGTCATTATATTTAAGAAAAGTGTCTATAAAGGTAATGAAAGTGTATTAAGTGGATTGAGGATTGAAACAATAAGAATGCAGGTAGAGTTATATGTCTTGTGGGTTATTGAACAAAGCGACAACTGGTTGCTGTTATTGTTTTGATACACGCAGATTTGCAAAACCAATCACATAAAATAATGGCATACTTGGGATAATGGGATGCTATGGGGAGAGCAAAAAGTGTACAGCAGAAATAAACAAAAATATAGTTGGGAGTTGAGGAAATTTTTTAAATACGAATTCGTATTATTCGTATTTAAAAATATAACCACATAATTTTAAGTAACGTCTGTCGGATATAGTACATATAAGATAAAGTACATTTTATTGCGTAACTTAATATAAATGTTTCTGTACATAACTGATTTCTCCATCAAATTAAATACCTTGTCTAAATATAAACCATATAAATTATTTAACACATCGGTCAGTATAGATGTATGCCCAACTATATGCCATTATCAAAATATTAATAACGAAACTGCACAGCCATCAAATGTAAATCTTCTACTTCATTTAAATTTAAATCAAATAAAAGATATCTCTCAAATCTAGATTTTGATCAATAACCATTTACAGATATTTGACTTTACTGATGTTATCTATGTTGCACTATAACACTATGTCTACTAAGAAAAAAAGAACTGATAGTTGCAAGGTAAAATGGGCAATTTACTGGGGCTTAACTATTGTCTAACTCCACTTTCCACCCCCTTCCATCTCACGTCTTTCCCTTTATTAGTTCTGCCCAAGAAGTGCTCGAGGTGAAGTGACTTTTTTTTATAATCCCTCACAGCGTCTTTACTTTGTTTAAAGGTTATGGGATTAAACATTTTTATAGGTTAGACTCAAAATAATAAAAATAATATATATTTACCTATCTTCCAACTCTAGCTGCACTCTGCAGCACACCCTAGATATATCTCACCTTTTAGGCGGTGATTCGCATTTTGCGTTGGGACATTTGAATGGACACTATCATTGGTTTTTTAACCTTCTAAACTCTATTCATTTTATTTTATCTATCGGGGTTCATATCGAAGTTGATATGAAAACGTAGAGAACTTTTAAAAAGAGGAAACTTAGCACTTTTTACGATAGATGTCGCTAAACAGTAAATGTCAAATCTCCAGTGGCCTCAACCAAAGTCGACCATGCGAACATATGGTACTTTATACAGTTTTTCATAGCTCCTTACTCACACACCTACACACACACGCCGAGTCGACAAAATGGTAGTTCTATAACTATCTTTCAGGCAAATTATCCTTCGTTGGCTTTAGAATTGTCAGTAAGTTTAGAATTAAGTTCAAACTTTTTGACCTAAGAATCATGTGACTCTATTTTTTGGCAATAGAAATCTTCATCTATTAGCAATAAAATTTTTTGTCGCCCTTTTTACTTTTTGGATTAAAAAGGCCCTCTTGACTTTGCCTAGTTTTGCAATATTGAAGTGTTACCTATTCAAGCAACCATATCTTTTCTGTGTGAAATTACTTTTTATTTATTGAAATTATAAAAATTTGTGGAAATAATCAAAATGTTGGCATTCACTCACTCTAGCTCAATGCGGCCACATTTAACCTTGGCTATGGCCCTTAAACGGTTTAAAAATGCATTGTATGCTTCACGAATGTGATCTTTCGGTATTTTGGCTAATTCCTGAAGAATGGCTTTCTTCAGCATATCTATACTGACATATTTTTTAGTCCTCACCTTGCTCTCCAAAATGGGCGAGATGGATGTGTGGAATATGATTTTTTAACTATTCATGGTTCTCACGAGCTTTATGAGACGGTGCCGAGTCTATGGTCCATGAACGTATATTTATGTTTGCGTGCCCACGGTTCTAAAGCAATTACCAAAACATTTTCCCGATAATATGTCGCGTTGACAACAGGCTTGATTAAAACGATTGGAGAGCTTCGATTGGTGTTCCCAGTTGCCTATACTATCGCTAGAGATGGAAAATTACTTCGGGTGGCCATTCGTAGTCTCAAATTTTCGGCAATGCGTTCAGTTAAGTAAACACGAACATTTTGAGTGTTTATGAACTACTCAATGGGAACATTTTTCTCATCAGAGAACACAGCGTTTGAAAATTCGCATATTTGTACACGCATAATAACTCCTTTGCTATTTCGAGTCTAACTTTTTGTCGCTTCGGCAAAAGATCTTGTGCCTTTTGGCTTTATCTTGAGCTCATTTTGGAATATAAGTCGGATGCTTCGCTAGGATATCTTCAGTTATTTGACCATTTGAATACCATTACCACGTGGATTTCGTTTAAGTCGAGCTTTCACTTTCTGAACCATTTTATGTAATGTTGCTGTTATTTTTCGCCCACTCCCATAGCGTTTGGCGACGCTGCCTTTATTATTATAACGATTTATAATAAGATACGCAAACATTTTATTAACTTTCAGGTGGTTGAGCTCACGAACAATACCTGGTTGTACATTTTGTTAATACCTCAAAAGCTCTAATAGACAGAAAGTTAAAATTTGGTGTATTAAAACTTATACTATATCGCATGGGCCCAAAAAGTTTCATGATATTTTGCCCACTATAACACCCATTCCCCATGCAACATTTTTATAACATATTGTTTATTATTGTTAGAAAAATTGTTGCTTTTATTAAACTATATATATTTATTACATATATAATAATACAACTTTATACAAAAGGCGGGAGTGATCCACCCATTAGTTCTTAAGTTATTAGCAATTTTATGAAATTTTAATGAATTTGTGTTAATGTTAATAATATTGTTAATAATATTATTTCTGCATATTTACTTGCTATATAATTTCAATTTCTGTGAGCCTGGTACCTATAGTTATGCTAACATTAAATTTTATACTGAACTATATATTTTTATCGATTCCATACTCTGATACTTCCATTAAGTAAAAACGATTATATTAATAAATATTTAAGATATTAATTATTTTCTTTTATTCTATATATAGTATAGTATAGTCTATATATAGCTTTTTTGTCATAATTCTCATATGTAGCTAAACTTATTAACTTTGAATTAATAAGGATAAGGAAATACATGAATAAGGAAATATAGAAGACATGTCTGCGAAGAAAAATAATTTTGTGTCAAGTGTGCTTCATTAGCCAATTGACCCAAATGAACACTGACTCTGAACTTCAAATTTAGAAGGGTATCGGTTCACCCTTCTAAATAGATCTGCGTTCTGTAGATGTGTAATTCAGATGAGGCTGAAGATATTGTACATTGACAGTTCAACAGTTCGACAGTTTGAGTGATATTGATTTCTTTTAAAATTTTTTTTTTTCAAATATTTCAAATTTCAAATATAATAAATTCAAATATAATAAATAAATATTGTCATCAATATATGAGGTGAAAGTATCGATTTGTTTGTTTTGTGCGAGTGTTTAATATTAACAATGCCGCGACCCAGAAAGTCTAATCTTTCTCAACAATGCCGTAATGCAACTAGGCGTCGAACCATTACGCATGCATCCACTGAAGAAGAACAGAATCGCACGAAAAAGGAGCCACATTAGTATGACCCGCCTTCGCGCTTCTCACACACAAGAGCAAAGAGAGGCAGTCCGTGAAACGGCTCGGTTGGCAATGAGAAATCGTCGAGCTTATCACACCGATCAACAACGAGAAAATATCCGACGATCAAGAAGAAATGCTTCAACTATTGATTTGTATCGAGCAGCGTTTCTATACGATTGCGCAAATGATTACACTTCGCATCCTTTCGTTCGCATTGGTCCAATGGACGTTACTTGCGAACATTGCGGAGCATTAAAGTTTGCTGGAGAATCGCCGGGATTGTGCTGCCTTAATGGTAAAGTGAAATTGCCATTATTGACTCCGCCACCTGAGTCATTGCATTCATTGCTTTATGGTGAAACACCAGAATTACGACATTTTCTAGCGAACACTCAAAAGAACAATAGCTGCTTTCAAATAACTTCATTCGGGGCGGACATTATCGAAGAACATGGATTTAATCAGACGTTCAAGGTTATTTATGTTGAAAAGAGCAAATGTTCGTTTTCTTTAAGAAATTAAAGATAAAAAATTTGATCAAATATGAAATATAGGTGAAAAAGTTTTATTATATTCCTGTATTTGTGTCTAAAATAAATAAAAAATGTTAACATTTTAAAAAAATTGGCATTATAAATCTGTAATATTGACTTCGCTTTCGACTCAGATTGAAGGCCAGATTCACCATCGAATTAGATCATTGCAACCTGTTGAAGATGCACAACATAAATTCTTTCAAGTATACTTCATGGACAATATGACGGAACAACACAGCAATGAAAATAGCAATTCTTCAAGATCTGCAGCAACTACTTCATGAACATCATGCATTGGTCAAGATGTTCAAGACTACGTTTACCTAAAATTTAATATAACATTCATTGACTGATACGCGGCACGAAGTTCGCGGGGTCAACTAGTTAATATGTATTTTAAAGCTCAATTATTATTGATAACGTGTATATACTAGTTTATTCTTATACTCACTATTATACAACTATTTATAATACTACTATTATACTATAAGTCGACGGACGACATTGTGTCACAGTCGCTATTTTAATTATATTTATTTATATATTAATTTAAGATTCACCAATCATACTGTAAAAATGAAATTTAAAATGAAAATAAATATACATACATACATACATACTAGCATTAATCCCACTAGAAATAAAAAAGAACGTTTAAATTCAAAATCTGTAACAAAAAAAATAAAAATCAAATTAGCACAATTAAATTTTATCAAAATAATTAATAGAACTCGTTCATATTATTTTCTTGCATCGGAAAAATTCTTTATAATAGATGAACTCACTTCTGTACTTGTTCTCACAACTTTAGAACAACTGCTGCGAATTGCTTGAACTTCCGCATCTAACCAACATTTACGACCTCTTATGTTCCTATCAAAAGTAAACACACTTGTCGCAGAATTGATTTTCTTCGTAGACATGTCTTCTATATTTCCTTATTATATTATTTCTTTACTATATTTAATCAAAATTTAATTCAAAACTAATAAGTTCAGCTACATATGAGAATTATGACAAAAAAGCTAGTAAATTTGAAAATGAGCCTTCATCTACAAAAATGTGAAAAGTATTTTCCATCTTATTACTATACTATATATAGAATAAAAGAAAATAATTAATATCTGAAATATTTATTAAAATGATCGTTTTTACTTAATGGAAGTATCAGAGTATGGAATCAATAAAAATAAAAAGATCAGTATAAAATTTAACGTTAGCATAACTGTAGGTACCAGGCTCGCAGAAATTGAAATTATATAGCAAGTAAATATGCAGAAATAATATTATTAACATTACAAAAACAACGAAGTTATCGCACTTTAGGTTCTGATGCGCGATCTGCAGTGTTATGACCAAAGTACTTAATAATGTATGTAAAGCTAATTGATTCTAATTGTGGACATATATGAATCATACGTCTAAACATAATGTGCAATAGCTTTGTTGTTTTTGAACGGAAATTTGAAATATAAATAAATCAAATATTTATTAAATAATAAATGATTTTATATTATTACTTATTATTTAATTTGTTATTAAAATATATGAGGTTCATTAAAGGTCACATTTTGCGTAATTTTTCTATGATATCGTGAAATAGGTGTAGATATAAAACATAGAGTGCAACATAGAGTGCGAATTTTTTGTTTTTTATTAAGTTTTAACATTTGACTATTAATAAGATAAATTTTATGGAAAAACACGAATACACTTTTTGAATACGAGTATTATAGATAGAAGTGCAAAAGCCCATAAAAATTGGATGATTTGTTGCACATTTTCTTTTATAAAATTATATTGATAATTTAAACTGAAATGTTTTCGAAACACAATTAATAACAATATTCTAAGCTTTTAAAAACATTGAAAATGATAGTTTTTCAATAACTAGTAAAACAAATGTTAAATTTTAATTTTAACAAAAAGTAAAAAACCATTATTTTAAAAATAATTAATAAACATTTATTTTTCAGCTAAGATGTCGGAGTATATAAAAGGCGCTACAGATCTCATTGAACAGGGACATGTCCGCGTTGGTACCGAAATGATAAAGGATCCTGCATTTTTGGTTTCAAGAAATTTAGAAGATTTCATCACATGGGTAGATGGCTCGAAGATAAAACAACACATAATGAAATATAATAATATGCAGGATGATTTCGAATTATAAATCATAAACTGTTTAGAATTACCTAATTTTAGTTCGTTATCAATGTAATAAATTGAAATTTTGTATAATAAAATAATATATCTAGATTACATATATGCGTTGTTTATTTCATGCTTAAAAGTAAATTAAAAAAGTACCAATGCATCTTCCTTCAAGATGCGTGCGGCAATCCCTTTCTTTGTAGCAAGTTTACATCGACATCTACTACAAATGGGGACATCAGTGAAATTGAGTACAAACTTATTCAATTGGACTTACAGTCGTATACACCGGTACAGTATTTTCTTCGAGATCACAGTTGCATTGCAAAAAAGTTGTAAATAGACCTTCGTGTAATATCTTCTGGAAAGACCGATGTGAAAGATACTTGATGATGAATTATACAAATAAAAACAATAACATTCTTGTTAGATATTTTCTTTTATTTATAGTTTTAATACATTACAAGTAAAATATATTAATATGGTTAATTTGAGAAGTTTTTCACTATCCCATACCATCTCAATTGTTTTATATTATTTTTAAATGAATATATTTTAATAATTAATTTGTTCGTTTTACACAAGTTAAAAAGAGTTAAATAGGACAACGTTAAATAAATATAAAAAATTTATGTAGTAACAAATCATGCTATTTATATTGAAACGGTAGATGTTTTGTAAATTAGAAATGGATATAGAAGACAACAATTGAATTTTCATTTAAAAATAATTAAAAGAGCAAATTATATTTATTAAGAATATAATCTTTCTAATGAATTTCGTTGGTAGAAATATTTGAATATTGATGGCAGTTTTATATTAATTTTAATTTTTGCGTGGGTAAAAAATTCTTTTCACTAAAACGGTGTACAAAATTAAAATAAACATATAAAAATTAAAAATATTAAATATATAAATACTTTAGTTTTAATTTGATATAATTTTGTTTTAATACCCATTATGTATTTAGAACAAATTAATTAAGTATAATAAGAACAATTCTTTAACATTTGCGCAGTTTTATTTCAATATTATTGAAAATAATTTAGTGTTCTTATTTTGTTAACTTTGTTAAAAACAATATAAAAAATAAATAAAAAAAATTGCCAATAAAGATTTCTTGTAAAAAAACATTATTGAAAAGTAATATACTATGAATATATATATATATTTAGAGTTGTGTTATGAATGTTAATTATTATATTTTTTTTATATAATAAATAAAAACATATGCTTTACATAAATACAAATAGCTTAACTTTTTTTTTTTTGCAAAAAATTAAGAGTATTAATTGTACATTACGTGACAATTATTATTATTTAAATATATTATTTAAATTTATCCTGCAAAAGATTTGCTAAGCAGATCATTCAATTTGTTCCTTTTTTTTATTTTTAGGTTAAGTCTCGTTATAAAAAAGTTTTATCTATGGATTTTAAAGCAAAACCAATTGGTTAAATATTTAACATATCCACGTTTGCGTTGGATATATAGGATAAAATATTTTAGCCTGACTATAAATGTTTCGATTTTTTTTTATGCTATACAACTTAAATAACTAACGCCATATCCTTTTTACTTGGCAAATGAACTTTTTTGCCT